TCTTTCCCTCTCTCTCTCTGTGTGGCTCTCTCTGTCAAATTAAAAATAAATGAATGAATAAATAAAAAATTTAAAAAAAGATGCATGTGCAGTACAACATAATTTTTAATTTCTTACTTATTCTTTAAGAAGTATATAAATTAAACACCTGGTTTGTTCTAATTGATCTTTTGATAATATAGACCATAGGCAGCTTTACCTGTAAATTCACTGAAATGACAAAACTGGTGAATGGGTAAGGAACCTCTGAGGACATCTACTCAATTGTACGCCTGCCTCGCTTTTCAGAGTAAGAAAACTGGGATAAAGGAAGCGGGTAAGCAGCATAGTCCACGATGTGCTACTAGTCAGGAGCGAGTGTGAAACTGGCCCTCCCGATCCCCAAGGTTTGCTTTGCTCTCCCCTTAAACCTCAAAAATCACACTCTCGGGGCCAACAGACAGTGTAGCGGTTATGTCACTGGACTCCAACATGGCCTACTGCGGTTTGAGTCCTGGACCCGGTGGCTTGAAAATCACACTGGACATGCTGAGTGCATGCCAGGATCCCAGGAGGCGAATGGAGGAGAAGGGATTGTGGCATGGCCATTCTCCCTGTGTGTATGTGGGGGTGATTTCTCAACTTTCTCTCTCTCTCTCTTTCTCTTTGGCAAGTACACACTCCCCCAGGAATGCATGTGCTCTAAGGCAAAAATCTCTAAAGGGAAAAGAAAAAAGTTAAATAAAAAAAAAAAAAAACTACACCCTCAGAGGCATTTACAATGTCTGCAGCTGTCTGCCCCTTTATAAAGTATCTGCACTACTATCTTAGGGATTTTTTTTCATGGTTCTTTCTTCCCAGGCTGCTAATTAACCTTCCTATTACTGTTAGTATCCATCTTCAGAATTGTTCTTACTCTAACTTATTTATTCTAATTTGTCGTAGGTCAGGAAGGAAAACAAGCACAGTTAATAACGGTCTAAAACAAGGTTAAATGGATTCTGAAGGAGAGACTGAGGTACTTATCTGTAACTCAAGTATGCTTTTATAATTCAAATGTCTTTTTTTTTAGTTAAAATTTCTGACTTTTTGGCTATTCAAGGCATCCAAGGTTTCTTCATGGACAGTTGACCTTTATTTAACTGAACTCCCAGAAGTCTTGGGTCATCGGAAATGTCATGATGTATTTTTTTGTTTTTCTATGCAAAAATGCATTATGACTTTTATGACAACCCAGTATTTCAAGGCCAGGCTCTCCAAATATTTTAATAGCAACCTGGAAATTTCACAAACAAAATTTATCTCTACTACTGGGTCATCATTTTTTACTTACAATATTTTCTTTTTTATAAAAGGCAATGTATTTATCTTAAGAGAAAGAGAGAAAGAGAGGTAACACCCCCAATAGGGTTTCAATGCTCAAACTACCCCCAGACCCAGCCAGCTGGGATCATAAGCGTGCACATACAGGGTGTATTCAGGAGGGTCTCTGGACTCGAACTGGGAACCCTCCCATGCCTCACAGAACATCATATTTTGCTACTCAGCCACCATCTAGCTCCTAATGATATTTTCAGCATACAGTGGGCTTACAGGGATGAAACCCCACTGTAAGTCAAAAAGTAACTATATGCACTTACATAAATGCATTTTCTGGCAATGAAGACCCCACTAAATTGATTGCATCGTGCACTAATGGGCTCGACATAGTCAGAAGATGCAGAAGACATACTTTAACTGTAAGGAGTTGAGTTTTGCTGAGTTTGATTTTTTTTAATCTGCCATAAGGTGTGTGCACTTGACAGAGAGTGCAGAAAGGGAGAGAAAGCGTCCAAGGGGGTATGGCAAGTCAGCAGTCCTTTCTCCATTTCTCCAAGCTGCTGGGATTTGTGGCAAGCATGCACATGCACCTGATGTGTTTTTCAAGCCACCAGGTCTGGCATTTGAGCTGTGTGGTCAGCCATGTGGGATCTAGCTTCCTTAACCACCAGGCCGTGGTCTGGCTCTGAGCTTGATTTTTATTTATATGTCCACAGCTACTAGAATGGTGTCTTCAACATCAAGCCGAAAGATATGTGGACCTGATTTATTTTTTAAAGGTTTTTATAACTAAGAGTAGGCATACCCAAATCAAGTTTGTGAGTTAGAAAGATGGGAAGTCAAATGATCACTGTCTTAGACCTATTTTGTCTCCTGAAAATTAAAAAAAATTTCTGATCAGAAAAATGACATGTTCATTTTTTAAAAATAAAGCTAAACAATACTGAAAAGTGTAAAGAAAAGAGTAAAAATCGCTGTTAATATTTCAGGGCTATCCTTCCATGTTTTTATTTATACTGGATTGTTGGGAAAGTCATGACATATTTTTGCATAGAAAAATACCTCATGACTTTCCCAACAACCTAACACATAAAGAAATATAATTTATACGAAATACTGAGCCTATTTTTCTTAACAGAAATGTTATAGATGTATTTTTACATGTCCTTAAATGTCTACCTACAGCAACATTGTAAATGTGCACACAGTATATACCACAGTAGCATTAACAATAAATGAACAAACCCGTATTGAAAAACATTTAGGTTGCTTCATTTGTTCAGACAATATAAATAGTGTGACAACATGTACATATACCTATTAACGCACATGCACACACACACACACACACATCAGTTGTACAATTTCTAGGAATAATATGCAGAGGTAGATTTACTAATGCAGAGGAGGAAGTATGAGGGTCTTCAAAAAGTTCATGGTAAACATATATTGTGGAAAAAGAAAAACTCCATGTAATTTAGTTTTCTGCATCAAAATAAACTTGGGTTAATTCCATTTCCCTACTAACTTTGAAGTATTCTGTCTTTCACTTCCTGCTATTTACATATTATTTGAATGTCTTGCAATAAGCATGCATTACTAACATGTTAAACAAACCTTAGTTACAGCTAAAGAACTCAAAGAAATAAGCAACTGTTTGGCCACTGAAATTATAAATTAAATAGATAATGTCACAGCAAAGGTTCCAACATGCAAAATAACAAATGAAGGGGGGTGGCAGGTGGTATGTGGTTAAGGCGGCAGAATTCCCACATGGCTGACCATGGTTTGAGTCCTGGACCGGGCAGATTGTTTTCTCACTTTCCTTTTTTTTTTTGGAGAGGTTTTTGCTATAGGGTGCGTGCAGAGAGAGACAGAGAGATAGAAAGCAAGAAATCACCCACTAGGGGGGATGGCCAAGCCACAATCCCTTCTCCTTCAGTCTCCTCTCAGGATCTTGGGCATGCACGCACAAGCTCCTGGCATGAGTTTAAGCCACCGGGTCTGGGACTCGAACTGCAGTCAACTACGTGGGAGTCTAGCGACATAGCCATTATGCTAACTGCTGGTGGTTCAAAAAAAGAATTTTTAAAAAAAAAAAAAAAAAGAATTATATTTATATATTTTGACCACAAATCCCAAGAATTTGTTTATCAGAAACCTGGTCCTTGGGCGGCCGATATTGGCATCAACTATAGAACTTATGAAAAGTGCAGATTTTTGGGCTTTGCCTCAGACCAATGGTTATTAATAATTGTTCTAAATTTCCTAGGATAGTCATATTAAAACTACTTAAGTGTACTAGAAATTCCAGTATTTCAGGAGTCAAATTTTATCACCAAGAATGTCTCCAGCAGGGCTAGGTGGTGGTGCAGCAGTGAGAAAGGTCTTAGATCTGCCTCCTGGAGCTTCCTTTAGCACACTGGGTGTGCGTGTGCCAGGCTAGCTCAGACTAGGGGGCAGACCGTGGAACCCTACTGGTGATGCCTTGCCTCTGTGCCTCTCTCTCTCGTGGGAGGAATAAATGGATACTTTTAAAAACCAGAACAGACAGTGTTATTGCTGTTGTGATTACATGCAAGTATCACCTAGAAGTTTTGAAAAACTGGACTAATAAATGGAAGTATGAATACTAACTACCATAGCATATTAAATACAAAAAAAGAACAAAATATATTTTTTTAACATTTACAAAGTAATTCATAGGGCTGGTAGGTGGCATGGTGATTAGAGTGCTAGACTCCCACATGGGTGACCAGGATTTGAGTCCTGGACCTGGTGGCTTGCTTTCTCACTTTTCCTTTCTGACTCTCTCTGGTCAAATTTAAAAATAAGAACAATAATAAGTTAAATAGGGACTGGCATGTGCCATGGTGGTTAGAGGGTGCTGGACTCCCACATGACCAACTGTGATTCGAGTCCTAGACCTGGCGGCTTGCTTTCTCAAGTTCCCTCTCCTTCTCTCACTCTGTCCCCCTCTTATTAAAATAAGATAAATAAATAAATAAAATTAATAAAGTTAAATAAAATAAATAATAATAAATTAAATAAATAATTCTTTTTTAAAAAGTAATTCACTTACGTTCTGAGGATGGAAGAATGAGGCAGCTTAAGAATCTTTCTTACATAATCATAGACTTTGCTGCTGCATAAGTACAGTGTACATGCAAACTGCTTCATCTCCGTGGAGTATCCAGCCGTGTCGCTCCAGTTATACAACTCCCACTTAAAATCTGTTAAAATAAATTTATTTATTCCTTAGGATGAAAAAAATGTGATTAATAACATTTTTAGGTACAGATCCTAATATGTGGAAGTGAAATGTACTGGGCGTCATAATTCAAATATAAATATAGTCACATTTTAATGGACTTTGTCAGGAAGTTAAAAATCTTCTTGGGGCCCCTTGACCAATTTATCATGTTCACCATGGGTCATTTCACTGCAGAGAGAGAAGAAGAAAGTTTTAACTTCAATCAATCATGTTTTCACTATTTATTAGTAGCAAGAATGGAGTTGTTTTTTTTTGGGGGGGAGGGGTTTGCTATAGGGCGCATGCGCTTGCCAGAAAGACAGAGAGAGACATAGAGACAGGAAGCGAGAAATCACCCCCCAGAGAGGATGGCCATGCCGCAATCCTTTCTCCTCCATTCTCCTCTTGGGATCTTGGGCATGCACGCACATGCGCCTGGCATGAGTTTAAGCCACCAGGTCCAGGACTCAAACTGCGGTCGACTATATGGGAGTTCAGCAACATAGCCATTATGCTAACTGCTGGTCCCAAGAATGGAGATTTTGATAACAAGGAACAAAATGAAATAAATGAATAAAATTAAGTCTCTGAACTATGAGGACATTTATTTGTTTGATTTTATTCATGGTAACTAATTATCTGAAGTTTAAAAATTAGACATGAGAGGGACCAGCAGTTAGCGTAATGGCTATGTTGCTGGACTTCCATGTAGTTGACCATGGTTCAAGTCCCAGACACCGGGTGCATGTGTGCCCAAAATCCTGAGAGGAGAATGGAGAAGGGATTGTGGCATGGCCATCTCCCCTGGGGGGTGATTTCTCGTTTTCCATCTCTCTGGTGAGCACATGTGCCCTATAGTAAAAACCTCTCCAAAAAAAAGAGAAAGAAACATTTCTGGGGATAGCACCATTCAGGTTGAGCAGACCATCTTGCCTATCAATGAGAGGAAAAATCCCTCTGTTGCTGGAAGGGACTCTATTTACTGTCTCTGTTCCCCTCTTAGAAAAACACAAAATGTTCTCCACCTTTGACAAAAGAAACAGGACTTCTCTTTTCTCAGAATGTAAGTCCTAAATCTCTGCTGCTTTTGCAAAATAAGCCAGAAATTCTTATTTTGCTTCTCTTGAAATATCCTGGCCTGCAAAGAGAACCAGGTAGTCTTTCCACAGCTCTATATATCTGCTATAACGAAAACGTTTTGAAAGAAAAAAAAAAGAAGCAACAAATCATACAATTTCCAAGCTTAAAGAGGTTTTGCAAGTTATCTAGTTCAACTCCATTGCAAAAAGACTTTGGTAATAAATTGAGTCACAGTTAAATTGTTTATAAAGGATTGGCAGTAGTATGGGTAAGAGGTATTATAAAACGTGGCTGGAGGGCTGGGGAGAGAGGACTGTGGCATGATAACCCTGTCGAGGTACTTTCTGTTCTCTTTCTCTTGTATATATGTACACTCTGTCATTTAAAAACAAAACAGAGTGGTAAGTGGTCCGGCCTCGGTGGTGTGAGTGGTGCGGGTGCTGCTGTGTGATGCTGGAGGCCATCTGGGAAGGCTCCAGGTTCCCACCCTAGGGTCTGCTTGAACACATCAGGTGCACAAGTGCTGCTGGATGGCTGCAGAACTAGGGGGAGGACTGCAAAGGAAGACTCTGTCAAGGTTGTTTATCTCTGTTTGCCTGTCTCTGTCTCTCAGAAATAAATTTTAAAAAAGAAATATAAAACCATTTTTTAAAAAATATTTTGTTGCTTTCCCTTTTTTTAAAAAAAAATAATTATTTATTTAATTTTATTTATTTATTTATTTTAATTTGATCAGAGAGAGAGATACACCGAGAGAGAGGGAAAGTGAGAAAGCAAGCCACCAGGTCTGGTATTTGAACCATGGTTGGCCATGCATGAGTGTCCAGTGCCTTAACCACCATGCCACCTGCTGGCCCCCATATCAAACCATTTTTTTAAAACGTAATAGAGGGACCAGCAGGTTGCACGGTCATTAAGGGTGCTAGACTCCCACATGGCCAACCACGGTTCTAGTCCCAGACCTGGAAGCTTGCTTTCTCACTTTCCCTTTCTCTCTGTCTCTCTCTGGTCAAATTTAAAAATGAGAACAATAACAATGCTTTCTCACTTTCCATCTCTCTCCCTCTCTGTCCTTCTCTGGTCAAATGAAAATAAATAAATGAAGTTAAATAAAATAATTCTTTTTGGGAGCAGCAGTTAGCGTAATGGCTATGTCGCTGGACTCCCACGTAGCTGACCACGGTTCACGTCCTGGACCCGGTGGCTTAAAACTCACGCCAGGTGTGTGTGCGTGCATGCCCAAGATCCCAAGAGAATGGAGAAGGGACTGCGGCGTGACCATCCCCCCTGGGGGGTGATTTCTCGCTTTCTGTCTCTCTGTCTCTCTCTGTCTGGCGAACGCACATGCCCTATAGCAAAAACCTCTCCAAAAAAATAAAAATAAAATAATTCTTTTTAAAAAAGTGACAAATATAGAATACAAAATTGGATAAACCATGCGTGATCTCATCTCCAGGTAGTGTTATTATGCATTATTTTTATCATTTAACTATCTTTGTTTTCACCAAACTCATGATAGATTACATGTTGGGGAGAGAGAGAAAAAAAGAGACAGAAATACCCTGTACAGAGCCCAGTGATGCCACAATCCCCTCCCTCCAGTCCTCTGGCCCACCAGGGTCCTGAGCACGTATGCATACATACACACACATGCACACACACACACACACACAGCCCTGGCATGTTTTCAGGATGACTGGGCAAGGACTCAAACCATGGTAGGCATGTGGCTTCTACCTTCACAGGCAGCATGCTCCCAGTGGCGGTCAAACATGTTACTTTTATCATTGGAAAATTATAAAATATGAAAGGATTTTTGGCAATTATTTTATTCTTCTTGCTTATGCTTCCAAGACTTTTCAATTCCCCATTCGAAGCATGTTTTCTCAGGCAACAGCCAAGTAAATATTTAATATTTCAAAAACATGAAGAGCTTTTTCATAAGCATTACAAGTAATTGAGGAAAATACCTGAAAATTGTGCTCGGAGCAGACACTCTGTTTCTTCAGAAAGTAGTTTTTCTTCTACGAGGGCATCGATTAACTGCAAGCCCTTTCTCTTCTTGACCATCCTATAGTTTTTAACAGAGATAAGTCTTTTTTTGGACACTTGGAGCATTTGTTGCACCTCAGCCAGGTTCTCTGCACCTACTGTCAAAGGTCTCCTTAAACTATAGGTATGGTCCTCAGTAGCAACTTCTTCAGAATTATCTGGAAGTGGCTGTTTTAGGACTTTCTGTTTTGCTTTACCTTTAAGGTGCACGCCTTGAAGAACCTATGACAGATAAAAAGTGAAGATTATTTTAGAAATCATCACACAGTAGATTATCTTTTAAAATACTATTTAGTATAAATCAAGATTTATCTGGTTGCTACGGAAGAGTCAGTTATAAAAGAAAAGGTCATAGTCTCTGAATTTCTTTGAATGTATAGGTCATCAGACAATGTCACTGGGTTTTTATTGTTCATCTATACAGAAGTATTAATGCGATGCTGAAAAATTTCTGAAATGATTAAGTGGCAGCCATTTGGGAAGGCTTTATGGAAGTGAACTTTAAGTAGTTCTCTGAAGAAATATCGTGGTTTAATGAAGGAGCCAGGGAAGTAATCTGAGGGAAAAAGAAGGCATGGTGACAGAGCATAGGTTTCAGAATTATGACTGACCTGGGTTAGAATCCTAGTTCCCCCATTTATTATCTGTCACTTAAGCTCTATAATCCCTTGTGTCCTCATCTGTAAAATGTGGATAATACAGGGTTATTAAGATAGAATAACATAATTTATATAAATTGTCTAGTACAATCCTAGGACTGTTCTAGGCATTGATACACGGTAGCCATTACTGATTTTATACAAAAGCTGGCCAGTTAATCACATAGATGGTGTGTTAAATATATATGGCTTGAAAAGAGAATTCAGGGCTGTGAGAAATACACAAATCAGTAAATAGGAAGCTCTGAGAACTGATGAGTTTGAATTTGGTTATCAACCATACATTTCTAATTAGGAGAGTGAGATAAGACAATACTGAAAGGAGACTCCAATGAGCAAGAGGAAGGTTAGGCTATTATCAGAACAGAAGGCAGAGGTGATTACCACATACTGGGCAGAAAGTGCAGGCCACATACGAGAGTTGTAGTTAAGGGGTAAAAGGATAAAATAAAAACAATCAAAAGAAATGGAATGGAAAGCAGAAGTCTCATCTTTTCCATATATTTCTTCCTTTACCAATGCTAATAATTAGGTCAATAGTTTTTGGTCAAGATCAGTAACATTATCAGGAGCTCCAAAAGGTAAGAATTTCAAAGTTTTATGAAAGTTATGTTGTACTTAACAAAAGCTTGAATGCCAAGACTTTTTGTATCTACTAGTTGATATTTGTGATTAGTAACTTTTATGTCAAGACAAATGATTTGCATTTGTGTACTTTAAAAAAAAAAGGTTCCAGAGGACAAGGCTAATATTACATATATAGATCAAAAAGGAAAAATAACTAAAACATTTTCAAAGCATTTCAAATCTATTATTGCATTTATTTTGAGACTCAGGATTTTATGTCTGCACCGACTCTAGCCATAGTGTGAGCTACCTTGATCTGTAAAGGCCCTGTAAAATCTAGCTTTAAGTAGATTATACCTTGTAGAGAGAAACGGAAGGCACAGCTCCTTTTTTCAATTTTCTTCTTATGCCATATGACTCAAAGTCACTTTCTCGAAAGTGTTTGGAACATAGTATAGCACCTGGTCCTGGAATCCAAATCTTCTTGCTTCTGGGGTCCACACGATTGACAGCACTAATCCATTTTGAGCGTAGTATGGTATCCGTTGGAAACCTATAGCAATCAAAGTTCCATTAATGTGAAAACATTATAGTAATGCCATAGTAGTATTTATTATATAAACTCATTGTTAATATTTTTTTTGGAGAGTTTTTTGTTTTGTTTTGCGATAGGGTGCATACATGCACCAGAAAAAGAGAGAGAGAGACAGAGAGCGAGAAATCACTCCCCCCCCCCGGGGGGGGGATGGCCACACCGCAATCCCTCCTTCTCCATTCTCCTCTTGGGTTCTTGGGCATGCACACACACATGCCCGGCCGGTGTGAGTTTAAGCCACTGGGTCTGGGACTCAAACTGTGGTTGACTATATGGGAGTCCAGCGACATAGCCATTACGCCAACTGCTGGTCCCAACCTTTTGTAAATCTTAATTTAGGCTTTAAAGCACATAACTGTTAGGAACTGAGAGTGCTGAAATTTTTAATTTCCTCAGTTAATTGTTAGAAAAATAATAAAGTGGTGTAGTAGAACCTAATTCTGAGGTACTCTCTCAATCACCTTGAGAAATATCACTGCATTGAAAAACCTGTGTTCAAGCGCCATGACCTTTTTTCAGCTGTATGTATCAGACATACCAGTTGAATCTCTGAGCCTCCTTAAAGGGCTGTAAAAATACCTGAGGCCACACATACATTGAAAAGCACTTTAGAACTGTAAAGTTCCATACAGTTTTTTTTTTCCTAGATGCAACTAATTCTATTTCTGGGACTTCCATTTTATTGTTCCAGGAAGATGTTGCTACCTGATCAAGACACAATGTGGGACAGCAGGTGGCAAGGAGGTTAAGGTGCTGGATTCCACATGGCCAGCTGTGTGGCTTCAGTCCTGGACCCGGTAGCTTGAGAATCATGCCAGGCACATGTGCACGCATGCCCAAAATCCCAAGAGGAGGCTGGAGGAAAAGGGACTGCTGAGTGGCCATGCCCCCTTGGGGGTGATTTCTCACTCCCCACTCCACCCTTTGGTGAGCACACATGCTCTCTAGCAAAAACTAATCAATAAATAAATAAAAGAAAGAGAGAGAAAGAGAGAATGAACGAAACTGTCTTTCCAATAAACTCTCACAATGGCACATGTTTGTGAGACAACTTCTCTACAGACTGGGCATAATCTCTAACCATGCAAAGAACCAGCAAATGTTGGCTGGTCCACTGAGTTACATTATAGCCTTAGAAACAAAAGTTTCCTGACTGGTGCACCAGGTGAGTACACTGACTGATCCTCTTAGCTCAAGGGTGGCCTGGAACACCTGGAGCACCTTGGTAGTTATTGCAAGCCATACCCAAACAGCTTTATTGGTTTCCCCCAAAGTATTAAACCAGAGTTTCTTATGCATAAAATGTCCTGAAAAATGTTGAGAAACACTGTAGTCTAACCAGCATGACATACTAGTTTGAGTTCTAGACAAAATTGAACTGGTAATGATAATACTTTTCTCAGGTTTTTGTTTTGTTTTTGCCATTGAGTGTATGTACTCAACAGAGAAAGAAAGTGAGAACCCCACCTCCAACCCCTGGGAGGGGGGGGGAATGGCAACACCACAGTCTCTTCTCTGGGATTTTGGGCACACACATGTTCCCAGTTAGCTTTGCAAGCCACTGGGTACGGGTCTCAAACCATGCAATCAGCCATGTGGGATCCAGCACCTTACAGCATCTACATTGTTGATTACAGACAATTTAAGGACCAGCCAGTGGTGGTGGTTAAGGTAGGGGGACCCCACATAGCTGACCAAACAGCTCCAGTTCTGTTCGAACTTCAAACCCAACTACTTCAAAAACATGCGGGGTGTACATGTGGTTGTGCCTCAAGTCCCGAGAGGAGATTGAGAAGGGATTGCAATACGGCCATCTACCCTGGGGGTACTTTCTCACGTACGTTTTCTTTCTCTCTTCCCTCCTGCTCCCCCCAAAAGTGCATGCACCTTACAGAAAATATAAAAACAAAACAAAAATCTCTGAAAGGCAGGTTCTTATCTTTTTACAAAAGATGAAAGCAAGACAAGAAACAAGCACAGACACCAGTAAATAGGTGAAATTAGAATTCATATCTCTCTAGTCTCAAGCAGATTCTGCCAGAGCAAAAATCCCAAACCAATTACCATCAAACATAAACAATGGATTGGTTTGCACTGCAGTACAGTCCTTTTTTTTTTTTTTGGTGAGCACACATGCTCTCTAGCAAAAACTAATCAATAAATAAATAAAAGAAAGAGAGAGAAAGAGAGAATGAACGAAACTGTCTTTCCAATAAACTCTCACAATGGCACATGTTTGTGAGACAACTTCTCTACAGACTGGGCATAATCTCTAACCATGCAAAGAACCAGCAAATGTTGGCTGGTCCACTGAGTTACATTATAGCCTTAGAAACAAAAGTTTCCTGACTGGTGCACCAGGTGAGTACACTGACTGATCCTCTTAGCTCAAGGGTGGCCTGGAACACCTGGAGCACCTTGGTAGTTATTGCAAGCCATCCCCAAACAGCTTTATTGGTTTCCCCCAAAGTATTAAACCAGAGTTTCTTATGCATAAAATGTCCTGAAAAATGTTGAGAAACACTGTAGTCTAACCAGCATGACATACTAGTTTGAGTTCTAGACAAAATTGAACTGGTAATGATAATACTTTTCTCAGGTTTTTGTTTTGTTTTTGCCATTGAGTGTATGTACTCAACAGAGAAAGAAAGTGAGAACCCCACCTCCAACCCCTGGGAGGGGGGGGGAATGGCAACACCACAGTCTCTTCTCTGGGATTTTGGGCACACACATGTTCCCAGTTAGCTTTGCAAGCCACTGGGTACGGGTCTCAAACCATGCAATCAGCCATGTGGGATCCAGCACCTTACAGCATCTACATTGTTGATTACAGACAATTTAAGGACCAGCCAGTGGTGGTGGTTAAGGTAGGGGGACCCCACATAGCTGACCAAACAGCTCCAGTTCTGTTCGAACTTCAAACCCAACTACTTCAAAAACATGCGGGGTGTACATGTGGTTGTGCCTCAAGTCCCGAGAGGAGATTGAGAAGGGATTGCAATACGGCCATCTACCCTGGGGGTACTTTCTCACGTACGTTTTCTTTCTCTCTTCCCTCCTGCTCCCCCCAAAAGTGCATGCACCTTACAGAAAATATAAAAACAAAACAAAAATCTCTGAAAGGCAGGTTCTTATCTTTTTACAAAAGATGAAAGCAAGACAAGAAACAAGCACAGACACCAGTAAATAGGTGAAATTAGAATTCATATCTCTCTAGTCTCAAGCAGATTCTGCCAGAGCAAAAATCCCAAACCAATTACCATCAAACATAAACAATGGATTGGTTTGCACTGCAGTACAGTCCTTTTTTTTTTTTTTCTTCCTGTTGACCATGTCTTTTCTACGTTAGTGGTGGGAATTTACTTTGGCTCCCTGTGCATCAAATATTTTCCAGAAAAAAGGCTAACAAAACTTCTACAGTGGTGGGAACCAGCAGTTAGCGTAATGGCTATGTCGCTGGACTCCCACGTAGTCGACGGCGGTTCGTGTCCCGGACCCGGTGGCTTAAAACTCACGCCGGGTGCGTGTGCGTGCGTGCCCAAGATCCCGAGAGGAGAATGGAGGAGAAGGGATTGCGGCGTGACCATCCCCCCTGGGGGGTGATTTCTCGCTTTCTGTCTCTTTGTCTCTCTCTGTCTGTCTGGCGAGCGCACGCGCCCTACAGTGAAAATCTCTCAAAAAAAAAAAAAAAAAAAAAAAAAAAACTTCTACAGTGGTTATCTCTGGGGGGGAGGGGCAATTAAGATATGAAGCTTTAACTACACCTGTAACTTAATTCTGTCCTAAAGAGACTTAAAACAAACAAACAAACATCAAGGCAAAATGTTAACATTACTTTAATCCTATTATGTTTGAAATAACGAATAATTAGAAGTTTAAAAATATACTTCAACATGGAGGCGAAAACTTCTTCTAAATGATCATACATATTTATTTAGTTATGAAATTAAAAACTTTTTTCTTGGGACCAGCAGTTAGCGTAATAGCTATGTTGCTGGACTCTCATGTAGTCGACTGTGGTTTGAGTCCCGGACCTAGTGGCTTAAACTCACGCCAGGCATGTGTGCGTGCGTGCCCAGGATCCTGAGAGGAGAATGGAGAAGGGATTGCGGCGTGGCCATCCCCCCTGGGGGGTGATTTCTTGCTTTCTGTCTCTCTGTCTCTCTCTGTCTGTCTGGTGAGCGCATGCACCCTATAGCGAAAACCTCTCCAAACAAACAAACAAACTTTTTTCTTAATTTGCCAGTGGCACATGTGCTCAACAGAGAGAGGTGGGGAGCAGTGAGAAAGTACCGACCCCACAACAGGGCATGGTCACAGCACAATTCCTTCTCCGTTTTCTCCACCCTGTTAGAATTATTAGGTCTGTTTTTCAAACTCCAGGGCCATGATTTGAACTATGCGGTATGCCATGTGGGATCCAGGTGCTTTAACCACGGAGCCACAAAGCTGGCCTTGAAATAAATTCTCTGCATCTCTTTACTGACCCAAACAAAAGGGTCACTAATTTTTACCTTGCCAGTCCCACTTCACATTTAGCCATGAATGTTTCTGACAGGGCACCAATGTTCTCACGGTTAAGTCTCCACAGCTTTGAATCACTTTGATTCGTTTTGCACCAGAGCCCCTTGCTTACGTTCTTGCCACTTCTTTTGAGAGTCTGATGATGGTGCTGGAGATAACCGTGGAAATAGAGCTGAAGCCTCAATAAGTTTCCATGCAAAGCAAATGCAAAAACAGACATAGAGTAACTAGATTCTACTGACCGATAAAACAATGAAAAATAAGTTAATTTGAAGGCTTGAGATCTGAAAGCGGAGTATAGAGGTAAGAGGGAGTGGTTACCGGTGGGCTGGGAAAGTAGCTAGAGCCCAGACCACAAAGGGTTTTGTGCACTGATAAGCAATAGATGCAATCCATTGGGACGTGCACTCACTGGACAGGAATGCATCCACGGAGATCTGAACATCAGAATTGCCTTTTATATATTTTGGACCATCCTTTTACTTTTGTGGGCTTTTACATTTTGGGGGGGGGGTTTGCTATAGGGCACGTGCGCTGGCCAGAAAGAGACAGAGAGACAGAAAGCGAGAAATCATCCCCCATGGGGAATGGCCACACCGCAATCCCTTCTCCATTCTCCTCTTCGGATCTTGGCACGCACATGCGCCGGTGTGAGCTGATGGGTCCAGGACTCGAACCGCTGTTAATTACATAGGAGACCAGTGACATAGCCACTACGCCAACTGCTGGTCCCACTTTTTGTGTTTTATAACAGTTATCAGTATAGTACTTCACATATTTAACTAACAATCATACATAAATGAAGGGCATATAACATTTTTATGGAAGAGCATTCCATCATCAAGAAGTTTGAAGATGGCTGGGACGCAATGGCAAGTTGACTACTTCTCTGCTTACACTACCCCTGCTGATCCCTTGTTACAGATCTGTATTACCTGTTGCTAGGACTAACACAGCATTCTCTTCTTACGTCTTCTAGGTGTTGGGAAGTTGGAAGAAAATAAAGGGACAGGAAAGACAATACCGCTTACTTTCATCCACTTTCCTTCTTCCCAGTATGCCTTGAATATGGATTTGAATGACCTAATTTAATCTGGACTACAGATGTCGGTTCAAATTGGACTGATCTGAAATTCTGCCCCATTCGTGAACTAAATGAAATTTCCTAGCCATGATCAGACCTAGCCAGAATCAGGGGTCTTATAGAACTCAGCTAACAGCACTGAACAACTTGCAACGTCAAGTAGTGCTGAATAACACTCATCAGTGCTCAGGCTCCTGAAGATGCCACGCACAAGAAGCGCATTGCCTTCAACAATTCTCCCAAACTACTCTCCCTTCCGGTCTCTACGGAATAAAACCACTAAAATAAAAAGAACTGGTCTCTCCGTGTAACCCTCACTCAATGCCATCATGCAAGCGGTAGGCAGCAGAAAAATCAGCATTTTAGAGAGAAAGCCGGCACAAGGAGAGAGGTGGCAGAATCTGAACTCTTCAAAGTTCCTAGGGTCCGCTCCCCCGCCACGCACAGCACGTCACAGCACGTCACGTTGACGGTGGGACGTACTGTACGATCCCGCCCACCCTGGCCTGCAGCACACCAGGCCCTGCAGGGAGTTTGTTGGCTCCAAGGTTGCTCTCACACGCACTGGTGGAAGGAGAGGCCACGCTCCCGGCTCAGCACGGTGTCCCGGGTGGTGCAGCCCACTGCAGAGCAACTTCGAGTCATCTTGTTGCGTGGGGCTCCACCTTCCGGGTTCCCACGACGGCATAGATCTCCGTAAACTTAGTTCCGCCGGTTAACTCTGCAGCTACGACCTTTATTTATCCGGTAGGCGGGCTTTGGGGACGCGGGACTCCCACCCTTCCTCTCAGTGGGCGCCGTGCTTGATGCCTTAGCCAATCATAGCCCACGTCGCGTTGCAATGACCAATAGGAAAGGCCGAGGCATTGAGACGCGTATTTGACCGTTCCTCCCACTCTGTTGGAGGGTGGATAGTGGGTTTTGCTTTAACTCGGTCTTTTCCTTCCTGTTTTCACCTGGTCTGGCACTATCTGGCGACATCGCCCTTTTTGTGAGGCCGATCCTGAGAATGCAAAGCAGAGGGGCTGGACTAACATCGAGGCGAATCCAGGGACTTGTCAGTGGGCTTCCAGGTGCCATCTTTGACACTGTAGGGTATTGAGAGGAAGGGAGATGAATGTGGGAGAGGGCTAAGCACGGTTCCTTACAAATGTTGAAGGCAGAGTGGAGCCTTAAAATGATGCGGTTTACTGCCGTGCGTGCCATTTCATTCCTTTTATCTTGCAGCTCTCTGATACGGAAGTGATGTGGGAGCTATTGCCATGGATGGCCAGAGTCTAGCAGGACTGGTCGTCTTAAAGTGTCTTTTCTGAAAGACAGTGCCGCAGTGACACAGTTAAGGAGGAAATAAGGTAAGGCTCTTGGGACTCGAAGCGTTTATGGCCTAGTGGGGAATCATCAATATCAATAACAAGACGGGCCGGAGAGACGGAGCAATGAAGTGTATTTGGTTGGGACCGGGGATCGTGTATAGCTTTCCCGGGTGAGATCATCCGAGAACAATGTCTTTGTTAAGCTTTTTTCCTTTACGGTATGAGAGTCCACGGTTCATCAAAGGAGATAAGGCGTCAACCTAGGGCAGTTTTTACATTGAGAAGATAAAATGTTAGTCTTTGATCTGAATAACATTGGAAGACTCTTAGAGAAAACAGAAATTTCTAACTTTTTCGTTTCTTTTTCTAACTCACAGAAATGATTCCAGATTTCCGAGTGTAACAAGATTGGTTCTTCTTCCCTTCTATGTTTACTCTGTCTAGATTCCAGCCAAAAAGATTCATGCTAAGGTATTAACTTACATCTACTTTGTGGTTTACCCTGCTTTATCTTCTCTGAATGAAAGTAACAGAGGCTTCCCTTATGTTTTCTTAAAAGTCACATGGCCTAAGGACAGCTCATGAACTTTAGAAGAAATGACCCTTGAGGGATGTGTAGGGCCAATGCTAAGATGTATGCAAAGTAGAAACTGTATTTTAATACTGTTGGTTGGATTATCCCAACCTTTCTAGTACTAAGTCCATTAAAACATGAATGAGGCTGAAATAGAAATAACATTGTTTTCAATTATCTTTAAGGAAATACTTGGTTGCCTGAATTTTTAGAACAGTTTTATTCAGATATATTTCTTTTTTTTTTTTCTTTTATTAATTTACCAGAGAGGCCTGTGCTCCCCGGAGAGGGAGGGAAAAGGAGAAAACACCCTCCCAATGGGATATTGTCATATAATAATTCCTTCTCCACTTTGCCATTCTGCTGGGATGTTAGGCACACATGCACACACACCCCAGCATGTTTTTTGATCCTCAAATCAGGAGTCATACCTCAGTTGGCCATGTGGGATCCGTCTTCCCTCAACCTCCAGGCCACAGAGCTGGCCTCCGATATATTTCTTACACTATACAACAGATTTTAAGTGTAGAGTTTAGTGGCTCTTAGTAGCTACATACATTTTCATCACTTTCAAAGACAACTGATTCTTGGGACCAGCAGGTGACGTGGTGGTTAAGGCACTGGACTCCCACTTGGTCAACTGTAGTTGGAATCTTGTACTGCAGCCTGAAAATCATGCCAGGCATTTGTGTGTATATGCCTAAAATCCCAGGAGGAGAGTAGAGGAGGGATTGTGGTATGGCTGTCTCCCCTGGGGGATGATTTCTGTCTCTCTCTCTCTCACTTTGCCCTATGGAAAAAAATAAAAAAGGCATTCTTATTAGTTGTCCTTCCTATCCTCTCCTGCATCTCTTAGCATCCACTTGTTTACTTTCTGTGTTGGTTTGTCTAGTTCATATCAATGAAACCATAAACATAGGGTCTTTTCTGACTGACTCTCACATAGCAGAACGTTTGCAAGTTCATCCCTATTGTCGCATGCATCAACCCTTATTTTTTTTTTCATTTATTGCCAGATCATATTCCACTACATGCATAGTACCACATTTTATTTCATTCATCAGTTGGTGCGCATTTGGGTTTATATTTTTTGGCTATTATGCATAAAGTTACTACAGACATTAGTGTACAGGTATTTATGTGGACATGTTTTCCTTTCTTTTGATAACTTACCTAAGTGGAATTGCTGGGTCACGTAATAACTGTTTAACTTGAGGAGCTGCCAGACCATTTTCCAAAGTGGTTGCATACTTTGTGTGTCTTATCAGCAGTGGATGAAGGTTCCGATTCCTATTTCTCATTTCTTGTGCATGTGAGGTGGTTTCTCATTGTGGTGGTTGCCTTTTTCTTTCTTTCTTTTCTTTTTTCTTTTTTTTTTTAAAGAACTAGTTTGTAGAGAACCTGTTAAAAGAGTGCTTCTTAATTGCGGAGGCAGTGTGTATGGTGAATTTCAGATGCTGGTACATATGCTTTGTTTTTGTTATAATGTCTTACGTGTTTCTAGGAAAAAAAACAAAGCCATGTTCAGGAAAAGTGTGCATTTGAATGTAGGAGGACTATGGTTAGGGTGGACCACTCAGAACCCATGCGTATTGGGCCCTGTGGTCTACTGGTTAATGGAGCTAGATCTTGTGTAGTCTGAATTCTGACCCCGGTGGCTTGAAAAACACTCTAGGTGAGTATGTGTGTAGTGTGCGTGCATGTACACCCCATATTCAGCAGAATGGAGAGATGGAGAAGGGATTGCAGTATAACCACATCCCATTAGCCTGCTTTCCCTCTCTCTGGTCAGCAAAAAAATCCTAGACAGGTTGATGATAATTCACATGAAAAAGCTGATTAGTACTTGAGTATTTTTATGCATTTGTACCTCATTAAAGGTAGCTTTAATTGGAGACTGGCATCCTATTAAAAGCCAAGGCTGATCTGTGCTAAGACACCAAGATGGAAGTGGAGTATGGGCTTGTGGACAGCTGTAATTAATAGAATGGGTTCAGAGAGACCTTAAACTGCTAAGAGCCTGAGGGGAGAGACTGACTTGGGAGGGAGCCCTCCGGGCAGGCATGCATTTGTCAGGAGGATCTGAAGTAAGGGCTATTTTCTCTTCTATTTAATTGGACCCCAGCTATTGTAGCTGATAATGATAAAACAATGTGTTTCTTATATTATTGTGACTTTTTTTTTTTTAAAACCATAGGGCACATGTGCTCACAGGGGAGGCACAGAGAGGGCAAGTGAGGAATCACTTCCTTTCCCCCAGTGTGTGTGGGGGTGACCAGCAGCAATTCCTTCTCCATTCTCCTCTTGGGACCCTGGGCATGTATGTACATAGCTGGCGTGATTTTCAGGCCACCAGGGCCAGGCCTCAAATTATGGTTCGCCACATGGGATCCAGCCACCTCAACCACCACATCACCTGCTGGCCCCACTGACAATATTCTTATAATAATTCATTGTAAATGAGTTACTGAAACTGTTCTTTAGCAGAACAGATTTACTTACATTTTATAAATTAATCACTTTATAGAAGCCTG